ATGCCTTAGGCACTATGCCACCAGAGCTCCCATTATACCACTAATCCACCAGAGTGCCTTAATAATACCTTTGAATAGGTAATATATTTATGTTTCAAAACCGAAGAGTTGTCAGAGGGCATAAAGTGAAAAGTTCTCTCAGTTTTCTGTCCATCAGCCACTTACTACCCTAACTGTGAGGGAACCAATTACATCACTTTTTGATACCCACTTTAATTAAACTTATATTCTCTAAATTGAGACAGTTCTGTATTTGCCTCAAGAGATAAGGGTCAACAAGACATTTAGGGTATTGCACTTCTGTAGGGAGGTACACGGAATGGACTAGATTACTGGATACTGAGAATGAACTAGAGAGAAGGCATGCTGTTACAGTCTCCATAACACTTAAACATACTCTCTGCTCCTCCAATAAAGAATATGAAGTATTCGTTCACCTATTGTGGCCCTAAAGAACTTGGTGGCACTGTGGTTAAGCACTTACCTACTAACCAAAAGGTTGGTAGTTTGAATGTACCAGCTGCTCTGCAGAAAGATGTAGTAGTCTGCTTCCATAAATATTTACAACCTTGGAAACCCTTTTGGTCAGATCTGTTCTGTCATACAGGGATACTATGAGTGAGAATCTACTTCATGGCAAGGTTTTTATTTTTTTTTTATTGTGGCCCTATAATGTGTCTGACAGTTCATATGCACTACCATCATCATAAAAACCTTCCAAAATAGTTTTCTTTATCCCCACTTTATATATGAGGGCACTGAGGCTCTGTTAAATTAATAGTTTTCTAATGGCCACATCAACAGTGGGTGGTAGAATTAGAGTAAGATTTGAATTTCAATCATGGGACTCCAAAGTCTGTATTCTTTCCACTATGTCCTTTCCACTCATCTTGGTTACAGAAAAATGAAAGTTCTTGAAATAAAATTTGGGGAAGATTAAACGAAAAAACTAAGAAAGCCAAATATTTTTAAAACAGGCTTACACTACTATTGATGCTAGAAATAATTAAAAATTTTAAATACAGCTTCTATGGACATATTAAAATTAATCAACTGAAAATTTCAGTCAGAAACCAGTTATATTGTCTACGGGCTACTGAACAACCAAATGGGCTCATCTGCTCACAGAGCAGAGTTCCTGATGGTACAAATGGTTAACACGCTTGGCTGCTAAACAAAAAGTTAGAGTTTGAATCCACTAGAGTTGCTTCTGAAAAAAAGTCTTGAGATCTATTTCTAAAAAAATTAGCCACTGACAAATCTATGGAGCAAAATTCTACCCTGACCAGGCTTTGAATTGGTTTAAAACCCTTTGGAAAAACCAAAACCAAACTCACTGCAGTCAAGTTGGATCCAACTCATAGTGACCCCTCCTTAGGTTTCTGATGTGGTATCACTACGGAAGTAGATTGCCCAACGTTCTTTCTGAGGAGTGACTGGTGGGTTTGAACCACTAGCCTTCTGGTTAGCAGTCAAATGCCTTAGGCACTATGCCACCAGAGCACCTTGTCACAGAGAATAGAAACAAGGGCATCATATGCATTGTATAGCAACCAAAGCTCTTGCACAGCAGATTTTGACCCAAAGTAGGAAACAGGCAGTGGTGACCCGCTCAAAGATGATGGCTAGGATACATTTAAAATGGCATGGTTGGCCACCATCTTTTGTGTTAGGCACCACTGCCTGCTTCCTACTTGGGTCAAAATCTGCAATGCAAGAAATCTGGTTGCTATGTGGTGCATAAGCTGCCCTTGTTCCGTCAGCCATGACTAAACTGTTTCAACCAGGTTTGAAGTCCTGACCCTGACACATCTATGAGTTGGAATTGACTCAACAGCAACTGGTTTGGTACTCATGGTTTGTGGGAGAGATTGTTTGGGAAGGTGTACTCACTGGGTAGAAGGCAGGTTATGGAGAATGAGTCACCAATCATGAAAATAAGAATATGTAACATCAATGTACATTTTTTCAGATGATCTCAAAGAACAATGCAAGCATTATCCATGCTAACACCCAAGAAGTATGGGTGTTTATTAGTCTTATTTTATAATTGAGGAAATGGACACATTGTGAGTCAATTACATAGCTCAGTCCTTTGCCCAGACTACATAAATACTATTGATGTAAAGATCTTAGGTAACAAATAGGAGAAAAGAAAGTGATACTACAATGCTAACGTGGGCCACTCCTCGGAAGGAAGGTTGGGCAATCCTACTTCCGTAGTGATACTGCCTCAGAAACCCAAGGAGGGGTCGCTATGAGTCGGGTTTGACTCGACGGCAGGTAACAACAACACCACAGTGGGCTAAAAGTGTCGTTCACTACTCTTCATGGCTTCTTGCTGTTCTTGGGTGCTGTTGAGTGAATTCTGACTCACAGCAAGCCCATGTGATATAGTAGAAGTGCCCCATAGGATTTTCTTAGCTGTCATCTTTACAGAAGTAGACTGCCAGGTCTTTCTCTTGTGGAGCCACTGGGTGGGTTTGAACCAACAATTCTTCTTTTCAGTTGGAAGTCAAACACTTAAGCATTGCACTACCAGGATTCCTTATGGCTTCTGACAAGACAGAATTAATTTTTTATCCAATTTTGTAAAAAAATGTTAGACTAGGAAAATTTTGTAATGAGTATGGAAAAGGATCTCTCTTCACTCCTTGGACCTTCAAATGAAATGACACAAAGCTTAGATGAACTAGAATCTTGATAAAGAGTCTCCAAAATAGAAGAAGGATTGATTTGCTTTAAAAGGTTTAATGGGTCCATCAGAGCTAGATTTCTGTATAAAATTTACAAAGCTGTTTCTAGAATACATCCACCCTCTCTGCGCAACCACCACCCTTCTAAATTGACTACATACACACACTTGCCCAGTACTTGCTCCACAGAATTCAAGGCCTAGTGTAAACAGACACCATACCCTGTACATCACTGGATGTGGACTATGGTATACAAATGGTGGAAACAATCTCCACAAGTGTCCCAATTCTGCTGTGAGATCTAGTCCATGCAAGCCTGGTAGTGAAGAGACAGCAAAGAAAAGCCGTAAGTAGGTAAAAGTCTGATAACATTGGCAGCAATGAAGTTGAGGAATGTATCTGATAATGGATAATAACAGCTGCTGGATGATTGGGCATCTAGCATGATGTATCTTCACATTAGATATAAGGGGAGGAAAAGAGAATGTTGTAATCATGAATGTTAACTCACCCAGAACTGAGTGCAGGGCCTAGTTACATCCCTCTGGAAAGGACAGAACACAGGACTAGTTACTAGACCCACTGAAAACATACAGTTACAGGTTTACAGTAAGGTTGCAATATTACACTGTAATTGTTCCAGGATGTAAGAGGCATTCAGAATTTTTGGTCATTTTACCATCTTTTGATTCAGTTTATCGCTACTGCAAAGATAATATACATTTTCTCAAGAGACAGTCTCCTTCCTGGGAGTAGGAAGAGAAACTAAACTGCTTATTTTGAGATTGATGCTTAAAGGCTCATAAGAACAAGCAATGAACTACAAACAAGAAGAAGCCTAAAAACATCTCAAACTCTGGAGCAGTGTTGTCCAATTATGCGAGCCCCACATGTAATTTCAAATTTTCTAGGAGTCACATTAAAAAAGGAAACAACAACAAAAAACAAAACCACCCCCCCACACAAAACCCCCGATGAATTTGATAACATCTTCTACTTAACCAAATATATCAACACTAACATTACAACATGTAATAGACATACACCTATCACTGAGATGGTTAAAATTCTTTTCTTAGTACCAAACCTCCGAAATCCCCCGTGTAATTTACTCTGAGAGCGCATTTTAATTCGACCGGCACAGCGCAAGATGGTTCAATAGCCATGTGTGGGTAAAAAGTACCTATTGGACAGCGCATCCTTAGAGACCGCTTTCAAAAACAGCAGTGGGGAGCAAACGAAACACACCTGTCTAAACCTATCCATTTCAGTAAATAAGGTATTTAGAGTTGGGCTGCAGGTTTTTGGTGCACGGAGCAAGCCTACGGGAGTAAGGGAGGAAGGGCGCGAGGGAAGGAGAAGGCAGTGGAGAGGAGGCGCTCAGACAATTCCGATAGTGTGGGTCCAGGGAAGCTGGTTCTTCCCACCATCCGGTCTCACGCTCTGAAGGGGCTCGCCCAGAAGTGATGAGGGGTAGGCCCCACAGCAGCCGACCATTGCCATCTGGGCTCTAGAAGCCGGCTGACCCGGGCGCATGTTGGCGGGGAGGGTGTGCAGCGGTTCGGGGCCCTACCTGTCGAGCAGCGGGGTGTGGATATGCAGGTGCTTCACGGCCACCTGGACACGCCAGTCAGAGTGGCGGGCTGACGACACCGTCCCCGAGGCGCCACGGCTCAGGTAGCGCAGGTCTGCGAGCTTCTGGTAGGGAATGGTGGGCAGGGCGCTGCAGATGGCCTCTCCGTCCATGGTCGCCGGCGGCGCGGGCGCTCAGGCCAGCGGCCCGTTTCGGGTGTGCCCTCCGCTCCCGCGGCTCCTGGGCCCGCGCTCGGGTCTGCCCCCCGCCTGAGAGGGGCGGCGAGGCCCTTCCTGTCCCCAGACACTAGGTCATGAGGCCGCCCATTCCCCCTCTGCCCACGCCAGCCGCCGCTGGACCGTGTGCTGCCGGCAGCTTCTCGGGGAGCAGCAGACTATTTTCTACAAAGTGCAGTCAAGTCTGCGGCGCCGCAGCGAGGAGGAGCTTCGTCTCCCCGACTGGGCCCGCCCAGGCGCGCACCGCCGGCCAGCCCGGTCGCCGAGCTCCACCTTCCCCGAACTTCTCAGGGACGTCAGCGACTGGCAGAGGGGACAGTCGGCCCGCGGCCTCCGGGGCAGTTCCAGTCTCAGGCGGAGGTGCGCGCTCCACCGTCGGCGTAGCGCGATCCCGGCTGTCTATCCGACCCTGGAAAGGCTAGAGTGCGGGGATAAGGGGGCCGGTGCTATCCTTTTGTCTACTCCGCTCTCCGAGGACGGAAAACTTTTCCTTTTGGGAAAGTCCCGCTCTGCAGCTGGCTGACCAGTTTCCGATTGGTCAGCAGACCCTCCGACTTGGGCGAATTCTGGGTGCCGGCTGAGTGTTGTAGAGGAAGTCGGCAAACTTTAAAGATAGTGGGGTGGAGACTGGGTGGTTGGTGGTGGTGGTGGTGGCGGAACCTAGGGTCCCCACCTTGCGCCTGCGCGGATGGTTGTTTTGCAGGGCTCGCCAAGGTCCAGGGGCTCCACGCAAAATGAACTCAGTGAGACAAAAAAAACGAACTCACTGCGGTAGATCCCATTCGACTCATAGCGACCCCTCCTTGGGTTTCCGAGGCGGTGTCTCCAGGGAAGTAGATTGCCCAATCTTCCTTCCAAGGAGTGGCTGGTGGGTTTGAACCACCAGCCTTCTGGTGAGCAGTCAAATGCTTTAGGCCAGAGTGCCCTCAGTGAGGCAAGTAGGGGGTAAATCCTGCCTACCTGCACTCCAGTCTTCCTGCACTTGCAGCCACTTTGGGAGTGATGGGTGAATGATAACTCTGCTCAGAGTGCAGTGCACTGGCTATGTTTAGCCCTTGGTACATTCTCCTCAGCTAGGAATCTGATTGCGCCCTCCTCTTTCCCGGTATACATAATTAGAGATCAAGACTGGAAATGACCTTGAGAAACTCCATCTGACTCCACAGATTTATTTTTTTATAGCTACGAGATTAATTTACTTAAATAGATTTATTTTTATAGATAGATTTATTTATTTTTTATAGATACAAGAGGTTTGAAATCAGTGTTTAATGCCAACCAAAAAAGACTGGAAACATCTTTCCATTTTTTCCACTTAATAATAGAAACAAAAACAAAAAACTCACCTTTCCGTTTAGGTGATTATTTTGTGAGTGCAAATATCGTATACAATACCAAATCTATGCAAAACAAAACCCAAAACCATTGCCATAGAGTTGATTCCAACTCAGTGACCAAGTCCATACTAGGTAGTTAATGAATTCCATTGCAATAATAAGGAATGCCTGACTTGAATAAAGGATTTCTGCCTACAGAGAACCAATACTTCCTGTATTTGTGCACAACGGGAAATTGTTACAAAATAGTGTGTTTAAAATAGTGTGCTTAAAATAAAATGCTTAGCTTTAAAGATATGGTCTGATATGCTGTACATTATTGTTTAATAAAACTCTTGCTCCTAAAAATACTCAGAAATCTTTCTTATTAATCCATCCATTCATCCATCCCACATACTGGGTTGCAGAAAAAATATAATAACAACAATAAAAAATCAGCAGGGAAGAAATCATCAAAATAATGATTAAAGAAGTTTTTCTGGGACTGAAGGACAAGGGTCTCCATATTAAAAGGACCCACTCAGATACCCACCGTGAATTGGAAAAAGACCTACATGAAAGAAAAGTCAGGGCATTAAGAATAAAGAGAAGATTCTACAAGTTTTTAGAGGAAAGAAACTAAAATTAAAAGAATAGAACCCTAGCATGACCTTGGATGAAAATATTTGTAAGCTAAAAAACAATGAAGTAAAGTTTCTTCAAAATTCTGAGGGAAAATAACTTCCAACCTTGAATTCTATAGTCAGCCAAACTATCCAACAAGTATAAGAATAAAATAAAAAACATTAGCACACATACAGGCATGCAAACATTTGCTTTCAATTAACTTTATTTTAGAAAGCTACGGGAGAATGTGTCCCTGCAAAACATGGATGTAACCAAAAAAAGATAAAGACATGGATCTTGAAAACAGAATCGGGAGAATGGAGAAGTGAAACCCAGGATGAGAGATGTGTGACAGAAAGGGGAGCAACCCATTTTCACTGGAATAGGAGTAGCCAGGCTCTGACAGGAAAGTTTCTAGAAAAATAGTTGAATTTATAGATTATTTAATTTTGAGTGGGATCCCTGGTGGCCTAGTGCCTAAAGCATATGACTGCTAACCAGAAGCTGGTGGTTCAAACCCACCAGCCACTCCTCGGAAGGAAGGTTGGGCATCTACTTCCATAGAGATACTGCCTCGAAGCCAAGGAGGAGTCACTGAGTCGGATCCGACTCGATGGCAGTGAGTTTGATTTTTTTTGGTTTTTAATTTTGAGTATTTGGGAAATTATATTAGTAGGTGTTTAATAGATCTAATGAAATGTGTACAGAAAACTGGACACAGAACTTAAAAAGATAAGCAAATGAAAAGATGAGAAATTATTATTCCATGAAAAATAAAAAATTATGCAAGAAAGGTAACAGCATTTCTTTAAACTATTCTGTGATGGTGAACAGGTGAAAAGTATAGGACAAAAGTTGAACATATGTAACCCCTATGACCTAGCAATTCCTCTTGTAGGTATGTGGATATATATATACATATACTAGAATGCTTATAACAGTGTGATTTATAATAGTCTCAAATTATACACAACAAATTATATATAAACAACAATGATAAACTCTCACTGCTGTCAAGTCTGTTCTGACTCATAGCAACCCCTCCTTGGGTTTCTGAGGCGGTATCTCTATGGAAGTAGATTGTCCAGTCTGCTTTCTAAGGAGTGGCTGGTGAGTTTGAACCACCAGCCTCCTGGTTAGCAGTCAAATGCCTTAGGCACTACGCCACCAGAGCTCCACAACAAGAATGATAAGTTACATTTTATTTACCCAGTGGAATACTATAGTCAATGAGATTGAACAATCTGAAATGATGTTGTATAAAAAAAACACAGAAGGTAACAAACTGATGAGTTCAGTAATATAAAGTATAAAATAAGTTAATCTATGTTGTGAAAAATTTAAGACTGATTACCATTGTAGGGAGAAGTAGTGACTAGAAGGGGACCCAAGGAGACTTCTGGGGTGCTAGCAATGTTCTGTTTCTTGATGAGGAACCTAGATTCTAGGTGCTGGTTACGTGAGTGTGTTCAGTTTATGAAATTTCTTTGGGGTTAGACTCATGTACATTTTTCTGAATGTCTATTATGCTTCAATAAAAAGTTAAGAGGTTTAAATATAAAATAAATATGTATGTGTACACATATCCTCCCACTTGTATACTGTCATGCCATATACCCTCATACATGTATCATACTGTACACACTGTTCACCTTGTTTGGTTTTCCTTTAAAATATATCTTGGATATCTTTTCATAAGTGCATAAAAAGCTTCATTACTGTTGGTAAGGCCGAACCATAATATGGCTATACTATTGCTGTTGTTGTGAGGTGCTGTCGAGTCATCTCCAACTCACAGCGACCCTATGTACAACAGAATGAAACACTGCCCATTTGTGTGCCATCCTCACAATCCTTGCTATACTTGAGGCCATCATTGCAGCCACTGTGTCAATCCATCTTATTGTGGGTCTTCCCCTTTTTCACTGACCCTCCACTTTACCAAGCATGATATCGTTCTCTAGGGACTGGTCCCTCTGACAACATGACCAAAGTAGGTGAGACAAAGTCTGGCCGTTCTCACTTCCAAGGAACATTCCAGCTGCACTTCTTCCAGGACAGATTTGTTCATTCTACTGGCAGTCCATTCAGTATTCTTCACCAACATCACAGTTCAAAAGCATATTCTTTGTTCTTCCTTATCCACTGTCCAGCTTTCACATGCAAAAGAGGTGATGGAAAATAACCATGGCCTGAGTTAGGCACACTTTAGCTTTCAAGGTGATATCTTTCCTCTTTAACACTTTAGTCTTTTGCAGCAGCTTTGCCCAGGGCAATATGACATCTTATTTCTTGACTTCTGCTTCCACGGATGTTGATTGTGGATCCAAATAAATTATAATCCCTTTTCTCCATTTATCGTCATGTTGCTTATTGGTCCAGTTGTGAGGATTTTCCTTTCTTTATGTTGAGGCATAAGCCATACTGAATACTGTGGTTTTTGATCTTCATCAGTAAGTGCTTCAGGTCATCTTCACTTTCAGCAAGTAAGGTTGTGTCATCTGCATATCACAGATTGTTAATAAGTCTTCTCCCAATCCTGATGCCATGTTCTTCTTCAAGTAATCCAGCTTCTCAAATTTTTTTTTTTTTTTT